AACTATAGACCACGCGAAATAGTCTCCCTCTCGCTATTATTAATCTCACCATGGAGATATTAATCTATTTGCTCTGAATTTTTGCGGTCCATGAATTAAGTAAGTGTGTGTGTGTGAGTGTGGATCAATTTGTGAAGATGATAATTGGTCCACAAGGCAAAATCATAATCAAATAATTCGTTCGGGGATATCAATTTGCAAAGATGATCGATAAATTGCCACAGATTAGGCCATTTTATGAACACGCTGATCCCATTCTCTCAAGTCAAGCTTATTCACTTAGGAAAAAAAATCTGCCGCTATCAGCGAAAAGCGACAACGTAACATCACATAAATTTGATCGAAATTTTTTAATTAAATAGTTGAAAGAACAAGTTGTACGATTGCTATCAATTCGTCAAAAATAAAAAGTGAAACATGTTTAAATTTACGAACCCGAAAGCATTTTCGTGAAAACACGTCTGAAATGTCTTTTAGCAGAGGTGAAGACAAAAAAAAAAGATAACTGATGAGACGCGTTTTTGCCTAACCCGTCTGTGAGTCTAAGAATCTCATGCATACAACACATTGTATGAATATATATGTGTGTTTGCTGGCAATATAAAATTTTGCGGTGAATCTTTGCACATGCCAAATTTAATATTATTATATTGAAACAAAAAATCTCGCCTTGGTCGACTGAATTATACCACAGGTCGCGATTTTTTCTTCATAAAATACAATTCCTCGTCCGTCTCATGAGCAGAAGAGTGACTCTATACTGTATGAGTCGGGTTGAGTGTGTTTGGCTTTAGGTGAACGGTCCCAGTTGACCCTTTGAAGGTCTCTTTTGATTTTCTTCCAACTCACACGCATTCAGCACACTTCTTCTTCCATCTGCGGGCAAAAAAGATCCCCCTCATCATCACACTCCAGAGGCAATCTTCATCGAATGAACTTGAATTTATTCACGCAGAAATTTCAGTTTTGTTTCATTCCATCTCCACACACTCTCTTTTTGTGCCTTTGCCGGCGAGAAAGACACATTCGATCAGAGATTCGCAAGAGCTAGAGAGAGAGAAACCCACGAATATTCCATTGACAGCATTCACACAAATTGTTCAAGTCCAAAACATGAAGGAAAATATACGACACATTCAGGAAATCAAGTATGAAAATAATGCCAAATGATGAGACAATCATATAATCAAACATTTCTGCTGTGTGACATTGAAAGCATACATAAATTATTATAAACCTCTATCATTATCTCATTGTGATTTCATGGAAGCATTCCATCAAGGGAGGAAATATTATTATAAATATTTTGCGAATGTTCGGCATTCATCAATAACTCAGCAAAAATACACTTGAAATTATGGCAAATGAATTGTTCAATCAAATCAATTTTATACACCATCGCCTCTCTGAAATGCATCAACAAATTGTTCTAAACATGAATGTTTAAATCATTCATTTATTTCATATCCAATACTATATATTGTCATGAATTCATGCCAATACACAAAAAATTAATCAACATACTCAACAAAACAGTGCAAATCACCACTCGAAATATCAAAACAATTAATTAAATTTCCTCTTGCACTATCCAAAATAGGCCTCATATTATATACAATCCCGACCCTGCAAACAGTAACATTCAAGTGTATTCAACCTACTAATTAACCTGTCGAAATATTTAATATTCACCTCTGCATAGCATTTTTAGAGTGGCACACCGAAAGTTCCTTCAACATAAAATGCAATATAACCAATCAACATTGGAATTCAGTGACTTCACAGTGTATTTCCTTGAGAGATCAAAATCAAAATTATATATTCTGCTACTTTCGCCCTTCATTCTCAAATGAAGTCAAAGACACTGGGAATTTTGATCACAAAAGTTCAAAGATCTTCCAAGCATTCATTGAAAAAATACACACTTACATTTTTAAGGAGTTACACCCGGAAAAGACTCTTCGTGCACATCATATACATAACATGCAAAATCAATTTAAAAAAATGACTTTTTCCTCAAGTACGCGATTTCTGTATATCGCTCATTTATGCATCAATCTTCAGATTGGAAATTTTAACAAGTTACGAAATACGGTGAAAGCACAGAGAGTTTATTCATTGGTTATAGGGTACACCCCTTCACTGATGCAAGTGAAAGTAAAGAAACGAAAGTTTTTCGATGCCCCTTCAAATTCTGCCAGAATCTCTACTCAGTTTCACTCAAATTTAAGGTAAAGAAAAAACAAATTATTGAAAGCCAACCACAACTTGCTTTCCTTCACAACTCAAAGTAAGATATTACCACGATTTCCTGTAAAATCTCACATCTCATCCCAATGCAAATTCACATTCATTAATTGCAAATAGCAAAAAAAAAAACAGGAGCGAGGCGATTGCATAGTGACTTTCTTCACCTCCTTTTCGTATGACATTCAGCATTTATAATGTCAAGAAATGAGCAATGAATTGCAACAATTATGTGTACATTGAACTAATTTAGGTGACTTATCGAAGCATAAAAATATGCTAAGCATTTTCTGTTCATTCACTACATTCTCACAAGTTTAGAGAGATAATAATCAAAGTGGAGAGAAAAAAAAAGAGGCACAAGGAGAGTGAGAGATTGACAATATAAATCGATTTTTATGGGATAAATCCTCTCCCCACACACATTTATGTCATTCTCCTTCAAGCAAATATTTTTCATCATCATCATCTCCTATGTGCAATGTACACTACACATACGCACATGGCGAAATATAGTGAGTTGCAAACTGTGGCCCACGAGATTGAGGACTATTTCGAGTGAATGAGAAGAAGCATAGCTTTTTTTATGCATCTCCCAAGCATTTTGCTGAATCTATGGTGCCATCTCTTTTCGTCACCTCCATCTGACGATACTTTCAATTATGAGCAAACATTAATGCCAACATACACTCTGACGTCTGTGCAGAAAAAAAATCTCAATCGTCATCATAATCACACATGTGGATGGAAAGAGATGGGTGGTTGTGACCAAGTGTAAGGGACATATGGAGTGAAATAGAGAGTGAAAATCATTTTAATTACATGGGGGAGTTGCACTAAATTTCTATTTAAAAAAAAATCATTATGTACAATGAGTCGCAATGGAACCCTTCGAGAATAATGTGACTGAAATTTATTTGTTAACGCTCTTCAACGAAGAAAAAAAAAAAACTATATCCATAGTGAGCTTCTGTGCCTCTGAAAATACCACAGATTTCTCTCTTTTCACCTCCACAATGCGACTTAAGCGCAACCAACACACGCGTTCAACCACGGATAAATGCGTGTGTAGGAAAAACCAAGTAAAATACTAGTAAAATATGCACACTCGTGTGAATGCTGTGTGTAAGCTCTGAATTGGATCTTGCGACCCTGTACTTATTTCCTACTATTATTGCTATTATTTTTAATACACTTTATTTATTGTTTCTTAGTCCCCATATAAACACACACACACACACACCGCTAGAAGGCAACCGTACACTACATATGCATATTATGATATTGAACATTTAACATTGCTGTGCACAATTTTCATGTTGCTACTTTTTATGTCTTTCTCCAACCAGTGCATTCAAAAACTCATCTTCGCAGCAAGAAAAGTCATTATTTGCTACCATGTCAATTGATTTGCCAATCATAAAACTCTACATTAACTTCATTTCATTAGCGATATGCGTCGAATTGACAAGAAACAATAAAACATTTAGCAATAACTGTGACTCAAATTGCGCGATATCCACACAATTACACTCTTTTTCTACCATTTACTGCCATTGTTTGAACATTGATTGCTATTGAAAATTATAGATGCCTCACGATTTTCCAACGTTCAAACAGTGTGTGACATTATTGCTACTTGAATTCATATAAAGAACATAAAACGTCAGCAATTAAAAGTCAATAGCATATAAAAGATATAAAATACTTCAAATTATCCAGACACTACAAATCTTATCAGACAAATTCACCAACAAAATGCAAATTTAGTCATTTGAATATCCAAATTTCACGATTGAAAGTGAGAGATCTAATTGAGAATGCAAGAGTTGCATGGAAATTGTTCCATTTCCTCATGACAATTCCTACGGCAAAAAACCACGTGTCAAAAGCAAAATATTTCGCAGAAAAAAAAACTTGTGATTTTTTTTCGGCTGTAACTTTATGCCTTTAACTTTGGCGTTTTTTTTCAGTACGCGATCTACATTTAAAGTAGAAAGTTTCCATCGCACGTGAGAGCGAGAGAGAAGTTATTCAACACACAATTCATTTAAATATGTAAAATATACACACATTATAGGTATTGCAGATATTTCTTCAAGAGAGACGTATTGCGCGGTGTGTGAAAGAGCCCGCGAAAAAAAAACCTTTATTGTTTCGTTATTTTTTGCGACATCCACGAAAAAAAGAGGCCCCAAAAACCACATTTTCCTGCTCTCACCACTCCTACTCATTCTTTCTGGGTCTTTTTCTGTTGAATAACCACTGTCGATTTCCCCTAAATTACCATCTTTTCTCCGAGTGTTTTGTGCCACACTGTGACAAATAGAACAGCGCATTTTGACTATTTTGCAAGTTCTCATAAAATTTCCTCACACTTTCAGCAGGATTGATTGTTGTTCTAGAAAACTACGGTCATATATAGTTTGGGGTGTGATAAAAATAAAATATAAAAATTGTGCAGAATAATATAGTTTGTGAAAAAGGACGGCTATTAATCATAATATACCGGAAATGAGATATGATATCCATTTAGAAAGTGCCAATCGAGTTCAACCCTGGGCATTTTGGTGTCATTTCCCCACGCAATGTTCCACCAAACATACACTCACACTCGCACTCTCATTCAATTAGATAACACCCAGTAAGACTTGCTGGCGAAATTTCGTACATTCCGCCCGAAAAACCAGAACAGTGGGCAAAAAATCATGTGAAATAAAAATAGATCGTAAAGAAAAGTGTTTCATCTTTACCTGGCCAGAGCCATCCTAACATGTGATAATCCACCCAGAGGCAACGCTATGGTATCCACGGTGGATCACGTTTTTATTAACACTGGTCCAGAAGAAAAGAAATTAAGGGGTGATAAAGATGGAGCACTTTTGTTCCGTCTGGATTGACTGGGTGAGACGATATGATCACGCCTCAGTGAACCCAGTTGAAGATGCTCTCCACGATAAAGCAATTGGAATGCCTAGACGCTGGACCGTTGAATGCAGATTGTATTAAACACCACACTCTCCTTCAGAAATGTACCTTCTTTATAAATTTACACACTATTTCGTGTCTCTTTTCCACAAGCGTCAGCAAAAAGATCAACATGCCTCTTCGGGAGTTGTCAGTGTGCTTAACGAGGAGACACAGGAAAATTAACTATAATAATCTCTCTCTCTCGCTTTTCTCAATATACCAAGTCACACGTGTAGACAATTACAATTCACAATGCACTGGGTAGAACTGTTAAATTCAAGACTTTATACATAAACTGCACTCTTCCTGGTTTGCAAAAATTATACTTCTCACTTTTGTTTTTCTTTTTTTTCGTCTTTCTTTCCAACAGCAATTTTCCACGAGTTTCTCTCTTAATTACTTCTCAATTACGGTGGCGCACTGCACATTGGAAGAAGAAAAAAAATCTCTCTAATACATATACTTCTTATTATTTACTTCAACGCAACCGCGTGTTTATGTCTGCACGATCAACAATAAACTGTCACAAGTTGATCCAGATGCTAAAAACCGCATGCAACTATTAAAATATCCTCATTAATTTATTATTATTTATCAATGTACGCCTTTTTTGAGTAACCACTCTTTCTCTTCTTGGCAATTTTCGAAACTCTCGTCAACACTCCACGATTGGAGTTTCACTTTAGGTCCTCCTTCAATATACACTTTCACTTAGTTAATTTGTAATTTATATATCTTCTCTCTTCGCCAGTGAAAACTCTCCCTTCGATGTGATTTTCAGCGCTTTTATCCAATACTGCTGCTGACCTTCCTTCACACGAATCAGTAAGGGTTCGAATCCTGTTTCTCTTCTTTCGCTTGCAGCGTCAACGATCCCCTTCTGTGTTACTGCCTTGGGGGGTTAGTCACAATTCCAATGTTTAACGGTGTGTCCTCAGGCTCTCCTGTGTTTTTTCTTCCTCTCAATATCTCACCACATTGACTGTTAGACTTCCGAGGAGAACGAGATTGAGAAAAGTTGGACTTCTGGTTGACGATATCGCTCTCGTTACAACTTCAGCTCACTGGCACTTCTGCTCCTCCTTTGGGCGCCCCAAATTGACTCTCTTTACAACCAATTTAGCAATACGGAGTGTGAAAGAATACAACACTGCGGCTACAAATGTTGGTAAATGAACAATTTGAACGAAATGTTGAAATGAAATGAGTGAAAAAAATCGCACGCTTTCACTGAAAGTGCCAACAGAATGTCGCGGATTATCCGTACAATCACGCTGCTACTTTGCAACTGAACCAGGCATCGACTGTACCTCAACCGTAGACCCCGACATGGCCAGAGTGAGACCACCATAGTTATTTCCCCCACTCATGTTGCTGGGTCAAATATCGCCACGTCTCACTCAATCCCACTACACAGTGCTCCGCATGGTAATCCATTGATCTCTTTCCCTGCTCAGCTCACACTATATACTCACTCACTTTACGTGAAAACCTCAAGAGTGAAACTGACTACGCTTTTGTGTATTGCCTCACACTCGCGTGCCCCTTTTTCTCAATGTAATTCTCGTCCATACTGTCAAATGGGCCTTTAATTGTGTGTGTATCACTATAGATGATTCTCTCTCTCTGTGTGTGAACCATTTTGCCCAACATTCAATCATTCAACGCACCTCTCTTCCATCCTGCTCCCACTTTACACACTATATTCTTGCACTCACAACTCAAGAATGAACCCCAAAAACTTACTATTCCATCAGCATATCATTTTAATATCAAATTCAAATTGGACTAAATGCAAAAAAAGCGCCCATTGTGTCACTCAATGTAGGAATAATTGACTGATGAGGGTATTCTAGAGAGAAATTGTGCATGATTCATACACCAAAAGCCTAGAAATATAATATGAAAATTCAGGTAGGTACATATACATTAAATCACACTCCTCATTGTCACTGCTGCTCTCCACTGTTGAGAAAAGAGCCGAAACTCATCAGAGCCAAGAAATGGGAACGAGGGCTCCGAAAAAAAACGGGCCTTTTGTGAGTGAGGGAGAGAGAGAAGTTGAAATTCGCAATGACGAAAGGAAATATTGGGAATATTACCAACTGCAATTGTATTTCTGGATCGAAGTGTACCCTGAATTATACAACTTAGGCGCATGAGCAGTTCCACATAAGAGAGTACTACACCTCTTTGAAAAATTCACTCTTCTTTCTCGCTCAGTCGCATTGCTCCTCTGGCCCCCAAATTCACAATGCTCAGCCATCCTCTGCTGCCTCCCCACAGATAAAAACAGCCCGTAAACAACCATCCCCACAGCCGTGGACGGTAAAGAAACCCATCATTCGGACGTGAAAAGGAGAATGAGAGAAAAAGAAAGCAAAATATTGTTTGAGAAAGCATACCACAGAAGGGAGAGCGAGTTGTACAGTACGAGAGAGAGAAAAGAGAATGGAAATTGGTTTCTTCTAGGCAACAAAACTTATACATAACTTCCTCATTCGTCCCCTTGCGTCTCAGCCTCACTCACTGGGAGAGATTGTACATCCAACCAACAACGATACATCGTTTGAAAAGACCAAATCCCTCAAGTATGCAGAAAAAAAACCACCAACAACATAGGGAGAAAACTCCATTTTCCATCTTCCTTCGTCAGACGCGTTTCCTCATCGTCGTCTACCCAACGAACTTTTTTTTTCATCCCTTCGCCGACAACACCCTCACACCCTTGGTTCATCCTTAATTTTCCACATACACACATAGCACACACCGTGGCTCCCAGAACAGGGGGAGCCAGAATAATAAGCAGCAGCAGCTGCCACGCTATTGCAAACACGTATACACTCAGACTTAAATATACAAATTTCCTATTTACATTCTTGAACGCCATATCATATGCCCTCACCTTCGATATCTGGGGAAATTGAATCAAAAGGGCACTCTATTATCCCTTTTATGACACTAAACTCCTTATCTTTACCCTTTTGACGGCTTGCATGAATTCCATTCCGGGTCATCAAACTTTATCAAATGTTATTTCACCTATAAACAACATCGTTCCTGTTGAAGCAATGCAAAACACCGGAAGATTCACCATCGATTTGCGATCGATGTTGTATCAAAGTGATTGAAAAGACATTTAGAACTTGTATATAAGATATACAAGCTTACTCGGTCCATTGACTGGCTTCAATTTTAGAGGTTTACCTAGAAAAACACTCATGTGCGCCAGACATGAGGTTAATTTCATTCCTGGTTGTTTTTCTTAAATCAAAGTATGTGCCTTTAGTGCAACTTCTGTACTTCATGATTTCAATGAAAAAAAAAGTTCCCAAAACCTGCCTAAATAGTGAAAAACAACCACCAGAAAGACCTTCCCTTTCCAATTTCCTCGTGAGTTTTATTTTACACTATAGCGTTGTGTACACGAGGTGAAATATTTGGAATTATTAGCACATTCCACGTGAATTTATTTGTCCTCCTTTATGAAAATCACTCTTGAGTATATACTTGAAATTCCTCTCCAATCCAAAAATATTCTAAAGAAGTGCACCGCCATGAAATTCATACAACAATCACAGTAGAGAAAACTTGACACTATGATGCACATTTCAATATTCAATGTATCTCGAAAATCATCAATGTAAGCCTTTCTAGAGCATCTCACCCATATTAATTCCAAAATTCAATGAAAAGTGGAATTACTGCAGCAGAGCATATACAGGCGATTTCACTTGAAATTGTGTCTGATCTCAATTCATGGGTCATTTGCCTTGAAGATCAATTACGGTGTGACAATACTGTCATTGTTGCTATGCACGAAAACACTTTTCGAATGTTATCAAATTCGATATGTGATTTCTAAGGAAAAATCATTTCAGACAGACAGAGTGAAGATGAAAATTGCCACACCTTCGTGCTCTTTTTCTCCACTCATGTAGAACATGTACCACAACGATACATAAATTGACAAATCCTCATTGATATTCTGTGCGACATGGAGTGAAAGACAGATGCGAAATCTCATGTTGAGAGGAGGAGATGAAAGTAGCAACAGAAATTTATTCACTTTGTTTAGTGTGTAATTGTATAACAATTTCTACTCACATTTCACAAAATAGTAATAATAACTACGAAGTGAGAGAGCCGCCATACATAGATATACGCATTGATTTTCGTATGGGAAATTTTCGCTATATGTGAAAGTGAAATGTGAGTTCGCCTGACAGGCCCGTGGATCCTATTAAATGCTGACCACACATTATAGAGTTGATGAAAAATGTGTCTGGGCTCAGGCTATGTCAGATGGAAAATTACGCGCTTCGAAGATGTGTAATTAAAAACCTATAAATATGAGGAAGTTTTGTGGTTCAACACACGATGCCGCATAATTTAATGGATCATGATTAATTTGTCCCAAATTTTCGCACTTTTGCCAAAATACATCGCGCCTCATGAGCCAGAGAGATTATTATAGGGTGAAGAGTAGGATTCAACAGGAAAGTGAGAAAATAAACCTGCCACACTTTCCCACTAATCCATACATTTTCCACAGCATAAAAATTAGGCAAAGAATAATTGTGTCAATGATTGTTATTCACTTTGCCTTTTCCTGTTTACCAGAACACTCACGCGCTGCAAAAATCAACATTACAATGTGAAGAAATAATACATTTCGCAAGGTAGCTGCTTCTGGCCAGCAAATCTGACTAAACATTAGAAAATTCATTGCTACGTTTTGTATATGCAAAGAAAAAAAAATAAGGAGAGCGGAAATGAAAAATCTGCAGACATCTCTTCTGTATGATATTTTTGATTGTCGCATTGTCTAAAAGAGAAACTATTATGTGTCTGTATAGTTATGTAATTGTCACAAAAAGTCAAACAACAATTTCTACCAGACAACATTCTGTTAATTTGCCCGTCATGAGAGAGAAGGAAGTTTTTCATTTAGCCAAACACAATCATATTTTCACACTTCATTACCAAATTGTAACTGACACGTTTTACATTTTTTTCTCTCTCTCCCCTTGCTTTATCGTAACAAATTAAGCAATAGTTCTCACAGTGAAACGGCCAATTTGTTCGACTTTATCATGGTGAAGAGTTGCTGTTCGATAATTTCAGACTTCAAACATTTTTTTTCTTCTTCTTCTCATATCGGGATTAAGAGTAAGAGAAAAAAAACCAACAAATCTCTCGCTCTCTTCTTGTGAGAGAGTCGCGCGCACTTCAGTGAAAGCCTCTCCATAGTCGTAACACACATTTTGCGCTTTTTAAACAAAGTGCTGCGATTGAAGTCCGATAGCAGCAGACAAATTAGTGTAAATTTCTTTGTTGTCAAATTTTCTCTCTGTACACATTTTTATATTGTGAAAGAGCCAAAGCGAGAAGACAATTTGAATTATGAGTGAGAAAAAGTATAATGTGAAAATTTAAAACACATAAAATTTACATAAATGATTTTTGTCGAAAAGAAAAGACGAGACATAAAATAAAACCATGACAAAGGTAGTGATGGCGGGACTCCTTTGCCATCAGTCGTCACTTGGGTCCAAAAAACACATGCCTTGCCTCTTTTTTCCTCCTCTGAAATCAGAGTGAGAGACTTTAGTCGAAAAAAGAGAAGAGACCCAAGAAAGTGTTGTAATGTGTATTTTGTACATGAATAAAAATTGTATACGCGAACTTTCTAAATGTATTCACATTTCCGGTGAACGATACTATTGTATAGCATCTTGGCCATATTAAACATTTACACCCATTATTCACAGCCTCTGAAATCGGTTTGATTTCGAAGACGATCACGATGGGTACAAATATTTCTCGCCAAGTGAAAGAGTGAACTAGAAATTTACAGGGAAGGAAACAAAAAATTGGCAATGCTACTCATTATATGATTTGAAATGAAGATATTGAGAAATCATAAGATATTAAAAAACCATTTCCTCTCAATGTGAATCTCTGAACTATAAATTAGACTAGATATTCAAGAGTATTATAACCTAGAAAAACGATCATCATATTTACGTCAATAACCGTCCTTGTTATCTGTCATTCGTTGTCGCACGAGTATTTTAACCAAATATTTGAATACCTTGCCTCGCTTGGAGATTTCAAAAATCAAACAATCTTTCAAACTCACATGAAAAAATACTCTCATTTCGCACTGAATCTTAGCCGATAATCAATTGAATTGTAATATACGCCAAAAAAATGTACGCATTTTTCACACTATCGCAAAATTGCGAATTGGAAAAAAAGCAGAACCAAAAGAATGAGATG